TTCGGCTAGATGCAAACGTTTACTGCAGCACAGCATACCCTTTCAGGTGATGACTAACGTCACTAAAATCGAGTAAGAGAATTTCGTCATTAACCAATGTTGAAACGGATAACACAAAATTGTCGTAGCGCAGTTTTTAAGTCTAATAAATTTCCTCATTCACTTTCATTATTTTCATCAAACAACATGGCATTCTGATCAGTACTACAGGTCAAAATAAATATCTTACTGACTTGGAGCATGCACATGATACTGCCATGATGAGCCGTACTGAGGGGAAGCCTCATCACCTGACAGCTTCCGTCGCAAATTAGTTGCGAAAGCTGGCCGTTTCCTTACTGATGCCCAGAAATCCAAAATTATGAGAAACTCGTCGTTTCAACAGATGTACAAATGCAACGGAAGGTGAAGAAGTACCGAAGTTTGATAAGCTTAATCATCATCATTCCATCATCTACAACGAAAGTACCACTCAATCAGAATTAAACCGGACGATAGCCATTACCTCCAACATTTCTGATAACCTGTGCAATATCTGAGCTGAGAGACGAGTATCCTCTGCAAAAGAATTCGTCTGCACTTTGCCTCTGTGAGGTAAGCGTTGTTGCACCGTACGGAGAAAAACGACCAAGAACGACAGTTGAACAGCGTAGAGCAGCCTTGATTTAGACGCAAATCGAGGGTTAAGTGGCAGGATTATGAAAGGAATGGTTTATTTTCTTCTAGGTATGTGCTTTCAGCAAATATGGAGAGTACGAAAATGAGGTTGACCCAGTTCGACAAATTGGTTGAGCATAAATGTTTTACTCAAGCTACATTGCTTCTCATCGAGAAATCGTAACAAAGCAGGCATCAGCCAGGAGACAGACAAGTGTACAAGAGATGAACAACATTGAGGCAAGTCTGCGCTTAGAAAGAAATTTTTCTTCGATGCATTGTCCTATAGCACGAGTTCTGAAAATCTGAGAATACAGCACACGTCATAAACCAAAGGCATTCTGCTCAAGCAAACGGTTCAAAGTGAAGATTTTATAAAACACGAACACACCCATATGGAACGGAAGGAAATTTTCAGCCCAAACGGGTTTATCAAGGGTAAACCATGGTCATGTTTTTGGCTGCTTCCAATCTTTAAGAAAAAAGTAAAATTAATCGCCAGCAAACCTGTGTCAAAGAACGAATCGGTCGGCACATGGTTTCGTTAGCAACATTGATGAAACCCAAAGCGATTTCTTCAAGCGTTTTCTCCGGATATCCTTCCTTCACCATATACGCGTTGATTTCACGCTGCAGCGCAATAAAGCCGCCTTTGCATGCCTCGTAATCCAGTGGTTGGTTTCTGTCCTCGCCGAAGACCTTTGGGAAATACTCTGGCAACAATCGACCAAGAACTAGGTTGGCATCCGTAAGAGATAAGAAGCCGCCTATAATTTACAATAAGATAAACTTTGACCATAAAAAAAGTTTCTGTTATTAAATGCTTAACGCTTGAGATAACATAAACGTAAAATAAGCTGGAACCGATTAATATTTTACAGAAAAATAAATTCCCAACTTATGGGTTTACATACTGCTAGATTCTGATACCGCCGCTAAGATATATAATAGTTTTAGTTTTCGATACCGGACTGATGCGGCGTAAGCACCGTCTCCTTGCTTCTAGTGGCCTTGGGGACTATTTAAGCAGGCCACGGCTCCATGGTATTTGAACAACTGCAACGCGTAGATGCTGAGCCACATCACTAGGCAGGGCTGAACAAGAACCTGTTCAGACACCTGCAAGTATGACACCGCTGCTATGATATATAATAGTTTTAGTTTCCGATACCATGAAGTCATGGCGTGCTTACATGGTCCCTTAGACCACTAGAAGCAAGGGGACAATGCTTACGCCGCTTCAGTGCGGTATCGAAAACTAAAACGATTATTATTATGTTATGAAATTAGCAAGCCGACAACCTTGAGCTACAGAACTACGACACGACAAGTTAAGTCTGATACCACTGTGGAAAGAAGTAAAACTTTCGAAACTTGTAGTGGAACAACTTGAAGTCAAAGTAGCTCAGCGTCTGCAAAACGCCTGAATCGCAGTAAAAACAGGGCACTTTCAAATCACGGTTAAGTTTCTTACCCTTCGTCTTTCCATGTCAGATAGTTACGTGGTGAACAAACAGGAGATTATACTCAAGAGTGAGCACACAACGGTAAATATCTTTGAAACTTTGAAAGCTATACTTAGCACTCAGCAAATAACATTGCGCTTAAGAAGCAGCGCCTGAATAAAGGGCTAAAAAACAAAACATATCATCAGGAATCGACTG